GCTGGGAACATTCGTGTATTGATTTGCGGATTCTTTTGTTGCCTGTATTAGAAAGAAAGTCCCTTTCCCCTCACTCCCCTGTGCAGAGAGAAACAAAGAGTAAAGAAAGGTAGATGCAATCTGCCGCTTGCTGAGATACCAAGGTGATTTCTGAGAACCGCAGAGCCGGTTACTGACTCATAGCTGTGGTTTGTTTTCACACCGTTAATAGGTTTATATTTTCGTTTTGCAGTAACAAATGAGAACACTTACTTGGGGAGAAACCAGGGGATCTGCCTCATCGAGCTGGATCACCCTTTTTTCTGCTTGCAGAAGCCTTCCCGGGGGGGCACGCATCTGCTGTAGGGGACAAAGTGGTGCCAGAAGGTGTTTCTGGAGGGGGAGTCCCTCCTGGGCTTCTCTTGCTGGGCGGGTTAATGGGTGGCAGCTTGGGGGGTCCAAGGGGGGTGGCTTAGGGGGTGGGGACACTGCTGCCAGGAGCGTAGTGGCTTATTGCACAATCCTGGTGTGAGGTTTGCATGTCTATGTATGATGTGAAGCTTACCCGGCTGCTGCGTGGTGAGTTGGGGCTCAGCCTTGTCCCTGTGCAGAGATACTGAACCACTTGTGGCCAGCACTAAATGGAATAATGTACTGGAAAGGGGCTGGGCAGGATGAGACCGTTCTCATTTAGTGAGGAAGCACAGTGGGTCGTTTGGTTGGTCTAGAAAAAGAGAGATGGGGTTGCTTGGCTGTTACTCCGTGATGCCTATTCAGCACAGCAGCCCTCTGCTTTTACTTATCCTGTATATAATGCGCCTGATTCTTGCCTTAGTTGTGAGCATGGTGGAAGCATGTTCTGTTTTCCGTTTGTTTATTTATTTATCGTCTTGTTTTCAGCCTCTGCGAAGCTTGATATAGGTATAGAGCTTCAGAAACGTACATATAACAGAATAACAGATAACTGTGATTTGGTTACAAGCAATAATTTAAGCTGACAGGTTTAGCTGATAACATAAAACACAAGAGAGAAATAGCATCAGTTTATAAATGTCAGCAGAAGCCCTGCGAGTGAGTTGCTGCCTTGAAGCTGACTCCGGTGCTGTTACTCCATCTAATATATTATAAGAAGAAATAAACGGACATCTGAAAAAAATCTGGCTGACCAAGATTAAAAGAATAGGGCTATAAATTAAATTCTCCCGCGGTGTCACTTTAAGCAGCTTGCAGGACAGGCAGAACACGTCCAAACAAGACGAATGCTAATGCGCTAGGAGGACCTCCAGCAGACCAGGGGTTTTTAGGCTGCGGGTGCTCGCGCGTGTGGCAGCACCCAGGCGCGGGGGCGGTTTGTCCGGAGAGGGGTGTCAGTCAAAGCAATCGCGCTCCGGCTCGTGCGGGAGAGCAGAGCCTGTCCTGATGCTTCTGCAGCCGATAAAGGGATTCCATCCAGAACGGGAATAACGCCGTCCTGGCAGTGCGTTGCCACAGGATCAGCGTCTCCTGCTTGGAAAATAAACGCTGTTGCTTTGCGTTGACATTTATTCCCAATAAATACCTTGTCACTCGTGCAGTGGTGAGGGTTTTTTTTTTATCCTCTGGAAGTATTTCAGCTGTTGGATGCTGTCTTTTTAGCTGCAAGGCGGAGGGCTGAGTGATTGAGGGGCCGGCGGGTGACACGTCCCCGTCAGGGACACGGGGTGGTTTGCTTACACCCCGTGGCTTTCTCTTAGATCCGTCAACCCAAGTTGACGCAGTAACACACATTCAAGTCATTTTAGTTGTGGTTTAAAAAATTCCAAGTATGGGATATTTTTCAAGTGGTAGAGAATACAAACTGTCTGTGGGGGAAGGAGTTTGCCGGCTTCCTCCTCCGACAGCTCTAGCTGTTCTGCAGGTTCGTGGCGGGGTTTTCACAGCTATTTGTACTCCCTGGGTACTTGATTTGGAGGTGGGTAATTAATTAGACTGAAAACCCTTCTTTCCCTTTATAAGGAGCGAGGGAGTAGGACAGGATGAGATCTAGCAGCTGTAGGATTTGGAGATCTCTGGAAAGTGAGGCCACTGAGCTTCGTGCAGTAACACCTATGTGCAATGCACACCTGTCTGGATAGACATCTTTTGTCTTTCTAGGGCGTCGAGGAGAAAAAAGGTCAGAAAATGGCTTAAATATGAACTTGCTTTTATATTTTAAAATTGAATTTCATTTCCCAAATGCAACTTAATACAAACAATAAGTAAAAAATGAATTCCTCTAAGAAAAAAAGCTATTAAGAGTGTGATTCTGTATTAACAGCATGTGAAGCTGTGTAATTGCTTACAATATGTGTCTCTCCGGTGCATGCTCCCAGTTGTTGAATAGTATCAAATTATAGGAGTCAGAGAATCAACTATTTTTAAGGGAAGTGTCTAGAAGCTACGTATTAAAACATGATTAAAATGCAGGATTTCCAGCTTGCACGTTTAAATCAGCAATTTTCATCACATTGTTCAAGTCAACCCACCCTCAAACACGCTTTATGAATAATACTTCAAAATACCCCAAACTAAACAAGGCTGAAGACCTCATCCTGTCTCAAACGTGTGGGATATTTTTAAGCGACTACGCCGATCTTTTTGCTGAAAACAGAGGTGTCTGTCTTGGTTTATTTGGTAAAGCAGTATGTTTGTCCTGCTGTGGCGCGAACCTGCGCTGCTGCGCGCGGTGGTGAGAAGAAATCCCCGCAGCAACGAAAGCCGCTTAAATACGTCGAGGCTGAGATGTCTGCTCTGGGGTTTGGGTGGTCTCGGTCAAATCTCGTTTGGGAAAGTACAAAGAAGCAGAAGCCGGAAAAGTTTGTGTCTTCTCCGATGGCAACCTCCTTGATTTGGCGGTGCTGCGTTTGTGAGCTCGCGCACCCCGGGGTTCGTGTTTTCTTTTATTGACCGCTCTCTGCAAAGAGAAACTGGGAGGGCCGGTCACAGGGGAGTCGCTCAGCCCTTCTGGAGGCTCTTCCCTTATTTTCCCCTTTGATGTTTCTTTTAAGCAGAGCCCCTCAGCCTCGTTCCTCTCCCCTGGCAACCGAGCGATGAACTAGCACGGCCAGATGCACCGGGAGCACGACAGACAGAATATTCTGTACTCTGCTAACAGGGACGTTTATTTCTGGCTGCGTCTGACAGTTCGGGATTTGCTTCAGTGAGTGCCGTGCGTGTGGCCTGGGCTGTCCCAGTGCTGGTGACCTGGCGAGGGAAGCTGCTGGCCTTGGGAGGGGAAGGACCCAGCTCGCCTCCCGCTTTCTCCCCCAAGTGGTGTCTGCGCCTGCGGACGAGGAACACGTCCCCCTGCATCTGTATGTTCAGCACACGATGCCGTTTTATAATTCTATTTCTGTTTTCCTTGCTGGCAGACCCTGCCTCAGTGTCCTCTGAAACGGGGAGAGGAGACGCGGTGTTGTCCTTTTCCTGGAGATCCTACAGCTCCTTTTTGACCGGCCTGTCCCGGCTGCGTCGCCTGCAGGCGGGCAGCTCGCTATCGCAGCGAGTTCCTGCAAAGCTCACCTTTTCAGAGTGGGAAGATGCTCCTCTAGATAGACGTATAGATTAAAGCTCCTGCCTGTCACAAGGAGCGGGAGGAGGTTTGGGTCCATCGATGGAAAGCCTGCCGAGTGTGGAGGAGGCATATCTAGCCTGTCCTTGCATAGTTTGAGGTGGGAAGAGAACCCCCGCTGTCCCCTCGCATATCTGACCAGCAGCGCTTCCTAGGGACAGAATATGGTGGAGAGAAAGAGGAGCTATCAGAAATGTTTTAATAGGAAATCCTCCAAAATGGGGTTTCCTGTTTTTGTTTTTTTTTTCTAGATTTATTTATACCTGCTGGATGGCTTTAGGCTTTGAAATGTTTTTGTCTGAATTGTGACAAACATCCCAGTCTTATGTAGGAAGCACCAGGTCCTTTGATCAGTGAAATGTCTCTTTGGTCTTGAAGAGGGAAGGATCAATCCGGTCGTTCCCTAGACTAGAGGATTTTGTCTTTGAGAACATGTATTTATTGTATGAAATAATTATCCTTGTCTTTGCTTCCCTTTGGTAGGAGATGCTACCTGTCTCCTGCATGCCGTATTACTTTATCCTAGGCATCTTTTCAGGTGAAAGGAAACAGATAAAGGCAAGACTGAACAGGGAAACCCCATTGAGAGAGAGTAGCATGATTAGCTGTGTGTCTCTCTGTCTGTCTGCATGTAGCCAAGATCTCCATATTTATTCAGCTGCAACCCTGCTCTCCTAAGCAGGCAGATTTCTTGCATTAAAAGAAGATGAAGCAACATTAAGAAGAAGCAACCAAATATTTTCATGCCATCCCTCCATCCTGGTGCAACGGCTGGCCATCGTGATGTGTTTGTGGTGAATTGTGACCAAGAAAAAACAGCCTGAAGTTCCCATCTTTTCTGCATTTAAACCCAAAGCTTAATGTATTCCTTGTATTTTTGTTGGTGGATAGTAGTGATCATATATTCCTTTTAATACAATATTTCCAAACCAGCACAGCTTCGCCTCGGTACACTTGATATTCAGCGTACCTGGCTGTACTCTGCAGTAAGCTTTGATTTCGCTTTGGCAGCTGTATTTTGGGCTCTCTACCCCAATCAGCAACTGATTCCCCGCTCTCCATCGAGTCTCCAAATCTGCTTCTGATGTGGAGTTTCAGTGCTCTCTTGGAAATTGTCCCGGGAGGGAGGAGGAAGCCGGTGCTCTGCTGGGCTTGAGGTCCCTCCTCCCTGCGGCGCAGGGCCAGCCTGGCCGCACGGGGACGCGCTCAGTGGGTCGCGGTGGCACCACTGTGAGGTCAAAATGGCACTTGGGTCAAAGGGGCATTGCTGGAGGGGAGAGTGGGTGGCAGCGGGGGGCCTGCTCCTGTTCACTGTGTGGGACAAGGCTTTTCTCTCTCTCTCTCGGGTAGGAGCGCGCGTCTACAGGTCGCCCTTCCTGTGCAAAGCTGAAGTGGTGCACGTGCCCTAAAATAACCTGACCTTTGTTTGTAGGTCAGGCCGTTCCTGCAGGGTCCCATGTACGATTAAATCTGCAGACGGGAGACAGAGAAGCCAAGCTCCCAGACAGCGAAAATGGAAAAAGCGACACGAGAGAAGAGAGAAGAAGGAAAAGGTACGGTGATGCGAAGCGTCGGGGGTGGCTGGGCTGCAGGTTTCGTGTCTTTTCTTAGAGGCCAGGTTCCCTGGTGCATTCAAGTGCTGTCTCTTCCCGGGACTTAATTGCTGGTTTAAGAGTTCAGCAGTGCTGAAAACAAAGCCCTGTCCTTTGTGATCCCTTTGGGATGGTGGTAGAAATGCCCTGAGTCTGTATTCAGAGATACCGGCGTGGCTTCTCGTGCCATCACACCGAAACTAAATGTGCCGTGTGGCTTCTTCGAATGACATTTAGTCCTCGGAAAGGTCTGCAGCAGTCGGTCTGCAACTACTTTCAGTGCTTAAACCATCAGAGCAATTGTGAGGGGCTCTGTGCTGACCTGAGCCGAATAACGCTGGTTTTGGCTGGGTGCAGTCAGCAGGCTTGCGGCGTTCGTTTACACGTCAGTTACTGCCCACGTTCTCCTTGGATCACACAGCTTTCCCTGCACCCGTGTTTCCAAGTTTGTTTTGAAAGTTTCACTGGTGCTGACCTTCCCCTTGGCACCCTCCTAACAAAGAAAGGTTTAGTTGCGGTGGGGAACTTCCCTTCCTGAAGCACGTGGGATTTACCACTGTTTTCCCCGCTCCCCCAGTTACTCCCGTTCAGAGCATGGAGAGGCTCTTTAGCTTCGTAATGCCTCAACAGTTGGCTTTCCTTTTTCCTGTGTAAGAGTGTTTCTGGCCCAAATAAACACTCTCTGAAGCAATGAGGCAGGAGTAAAGAGCAACACAACGTGGGTTTTAGCATTTCTGTATAATTTCTGCTTGGATTTACCCTTGCCCTAACTTTGTGTATGATGATCATCAGAACTTCAGCTGTAAATCTCCCTGTTAAAGCTTGCAAGTCCTTAGCAGTGATTTAGTGGCACAGTGGTGCTTTTTTGTTTTTCCTCTGAAACATTTCCTGCTTTTCTGTATTGCAATGTGAAATTCAGAGGCATACATTAATCAGCTCTTTTTATTGTGTTAGGACTTGAGATTTTGAGCCAGCATGCAGATTATGGGGCCTTTTTTCATTGTCAGGGTGAGGTGCCTGCAAACCACGTGTGAAATACGGCGCTCGGACTAATCTTTTCTTGAGCATGGAGGTTTTTTGTGTGTTTTAAGTGAGATTCATGGAAATCTAGCACTTTTAGTTGCTTTCCTCCTGACATTATCCATTGCTAGTATATCACAATGAAAATGCTGTGGATAGAATTGTTCACTCGTAACATGTTTTGTTTCCTCTGCAAGGCTGGGCAGGGTGGATGTTGACTCAAACTCATTCACATCCCAGGAGCTCAAAAAGGCGTTGGCTAAAATGAAGGAAAGTGAGAAGGCAGAAAGAAAGGTAAGGAGAGTTCCCTGTTGGTGAAGAAGCGTCAGTTCATGGCTGCGAACACCCTACGTTACACGTCTCAGAAACACGATGGTTAAAGTAATTGCTTGGGAAAATACTGTGCAGGCTAATCTTCTGGTGAATGTGGACCTAACAGACCTTTGCTAGCCTGCTAGTGAAATAGTTCCCTGGGAAACTCTCACCCCTTTTTGTACTAATCCTGGGTTTTCTGTAAGAATGGAAAACTTTGGTTTGGGTCCATTTTGTTCATTTCAAACGTAAAGGCCTGGTGTTGCAAGCTGCTAATAAATACCTAAGCGTGTTCGCACAGTTCAGGGCGTTTCTCAGTAATAGTTATCCCCTGGGCTGTCAGGGGGAAAGGGGCTGCAGTGGTGGAGTGGGATCAGCAGTTTAGCAACAGATCAGCCATTAGATGCTGCTGCTTTCTGGTCTTTACTCAAGTGAGTGAGGCCTCAACTAGCAAACCAGACACAGTGCCCACATAACTGTCCTCATGAGCCATCCAGACAGCGGATTTCTTAACTGCCATTCGGGCTACCAATGCTCAAGTGAAGCTATGGGGTCTTCCCTGTGAACCCAAAGCAGGTATGGTCAGTAAACAATCTGGTGTGATGCTGCTCCTCTAAGCTTTCTGATACCAATGTCATTAGACCTGAATGAATAGTCCAGAAAAGTTACTTGCAAACACTTGTGGACACCCACAGGCTGATTTCCTTTCCATTGTCTGGATGTATTTTTATCCATCGCTTTTTGATTTATTTGTTCAGCTGCCCCTCGGTTCACAAAAATGCCTGCAGACCCCCCAAAGCGCATACAATGACGGGATTTGTAAAGGAACTTACTTCGCTGTTCGCTGTCCTCCTAAGTGTGAGGAAGTACAAAAAGTGCCGTGCAGCTGAGGTGCTTCTGTTGTGGATTTGGTGATGGTGAGAAGCCCTGGATGTAGCATCCCCTGTCATTGGCATAGCTGGATCCAGAAGTGATCTTGTGGTTTAAGTTTCCAATCTCATGCCTTGGGTAGCAAAAACCAAGTGGCCGTGGTGAAGCAAAGGCTGAAGTTCCCTTATCTAAGCTGATAAGTTTCCCATTAGTTATAAATAGTCCACAACCCAAAGTAAAATGGAATACAGGTGCTGCTTTCAGCCCTCTGCTGGCTTGGAGCTGGTCCCCAGCCACTGGCATGACGCTGGTGGGATGATATACGACTCAGCAGGTGGATCACAGCCTTTTTCCCCTCTTCCACTCAGCAGGATTTCCTTAAGCCCTGGCTCCTCTGCTGCCTTGACGTTGTCTCAGTCGAAGGAAAACTGAGGTAGGAGTCAAGGCTCTAACGTCTTGGAGTCGCAGAAAGTCTTTTTACCCCCCTATCTGGCAGCAGGGCATTATTTCATTTTCTGTAAGATTATTTATGTAGCAGCCAGCATTACTGATAGCAGGACTTCTTGAAATGAGTGTCATTTAAATGCAAAAATTACTGATACTCTATTATGTGAAAATAAGCCATGTTTTAAAAAACCCTGTTAGAATAGCTATTGTCCCAGCAACTGGGCTAAGACCAGCTACATCTAATGGACCTAAAGTACTCCATTTAAAATCACTCCTGCAGGGAGCAAATTCATCCTTGAAGTAACTGCGTCAAAGTAAATTGAGTTACACCGAGCGTGCTCCCATCGCTGCTCTTGCAAAAGCAGTTCGGCGCGGCTGGGGTGGGGGTGGCGCTCTGTGTTGCCGCCCGGCACTTACAGTCATTAGGCCAGGAGTCATTAGCGCCGGTCCACAGATTGACAGTGCTTTCGCTTCTGTCACTCCGTGGGGTTTTTTTTTTCCTCCAGCGGCTCCAGCCCTCAGCGTCCGGCCACACGCGGCGGCGAGGGCGGCCCGCGCCACCCCTCCGGTTAGGGCTCGCTCCTGGATAAAACGTATTTTGGTGTTGGTGACAGAATCCCTTTCAAAAAGGGGCTTTTTCTTGCTTTCTCCTGCTCTTGAGGCAGCCCATCGTCAGCCTGGCCTCTCTGCTTCCTCCGTCCCCTGCAGCAGCAACAGCAGGCGGCTCTGTACCCACCTGTCCCAGTGCCACCAGTGCCAACGGTGGCGAATTGGTCTCTGCTGGCTCTGGGGCTCTCTCAGATCGCTGGCAGAGCCTTTCCCTTCTCACCGCCCGCCTTTCTGCAGCCCTTGGGATGCTGTTTGTACGAGGAGGACGAGCCGGGCTGCAGGCCGAGCTGCCTCCTGGCCAAGCCCCGTGGCACGGCCCTTCAGCTGCCCCCGTCTTGCAGCTGGGCCTCCCGCCTGGCTTTCCGACAGCTTCTGCCCCTGGCAGTGAGTGCCTACGTTTGCCTGAGAGAGAAAGTGATTGGGACGATGAAAGTGTCTTCGTACGCATCTGAGCAGATCTCCTTTGTTGTCACTGGGCAGACAGGACCCCTGGAGGTCTCCAGCCCCATCGCTGGCTCCGAGCGAGATCAGGGAGGTTGCTCAGGGCGTTTTGCAGTCAGGTCTTGAGAACGTCCGCTCGCAGGCAAACAGAGGACAGCTGTGCTGCCTGTGTCTGGGCTTGACGTTGTTTTGGAAGGCACGTAGGACGCAGAAATGGTGTATAAAGCGCTGGGAGTAGGCTTGGGAAGTGCTTGCTGGTACCCAAGGTGGGTATCTTCCTGATAACTGGGTTCCTGGGCTTCTCAGAAGGACCCTCCAATGCTGCCCCTGTGTCTCTGATGCACAGCAGCATTTGCATTTGCATAGACAGACAAGGTTCCCCTTGCAAATTTGGCGCTGGGGTTTCTTTCTATGTCTGCCTTGGCTCTCTTTATCGCCTGCCTTCACATCTGGTTTCCTCCTTCTGCTTTCAAGGCCCACGAGGAAGAGGTGAGGAAGAAGTTCCGACCCATAGAGGAGCTGAAGGAGGAGTTTGAAAAGATGAATGTGAAGATGGAAACAGATTATGAAATTATGGTTAAATTAATCAGCAAATTCAACAGCTCCGCCTCCACGCTGGATGAAAAAGTAGCAGCGCTTTATGATCTTGAATATTATGTTCACCAGGTAACAAAAACGCATTAGTAACTACCGTGTAAAATCCAGGGGATACGGTGTCATAAATGTGGTTTTATTTCGCTTATCGGTATCAGGTAATACAAATTGCTTAATTATCATAATCCTGGGACAATAACAGACAGCAGAGGGCTACTGCAGGCTTATTTTATATCCAAGTTTGAATAAATCATCGCTTGTGCCAGTAGCAAGGAGTTTCCTAGGGGTTAGCGTTGCCTGATTTGTTGTCTGTTCTCAGGCTTCTTTTCTTGCCCTCTCTTTTTCTTCTTTTATACGCTGAATGTTACAAAATGGGGTTTTGTCTGCCATTTTTTGGTAAGTAGAGTGGTGGCTTCTAAGAAAATAATTCTTTTCTCGCTCCTTCCATCGAAAGCCTCTGTGGTTGCGGGTAGGTGCCCTTCATCAGTTCGCAGAGAAGGTCTTCGTGCAAGGGAAGATGACAGCCACCCAAAACCCTGCGTTTTGTCTTGGCGTGGGTCAGAGGTGGTAGGTAGAGTCTCTCACAGCTGGGCCAGTGGTGACAATGACTGCAGACTCAGGAGAATGGCAAGCTGCTGAGCATCAGCTGAGCCGTGTGTGAGGTTGATTTCCTGAAATCTTGCTTCCTCCGGTTTATGCTCACACTTTCCAGCCCCTCTCTCTGATCTTTCTTGCTCTGCTTTTATCTCACACATTTGTACCTCCCGTTGGTCGCAGGCTGCGGGCACACCGCTCTCCTCCCTTGTGCTTGGTGCCTTCCCACGTGCGGCGGTTTAGGTTGGTGTCTGGGCATCGGGGCTGTGTTCTGCCTCATGGGAAAGGGCTGGGCTTCTCCCTCCCCAGCGACTGGGAGAGTCTGGAGCAGACTGGGAGAGTTTCTAGTGTTGCTCTCCATGACTTTATCATTTTGGAGGGTGAATGGAACAACTCTTGGGAGATGCCAGTGCAGGACCTTTCACTGGAATGGCACTCCTTAAAACCAAACGTGGTATTTTGGGGGAAGGTAGCTGAAGAGGGTATGCTGCTGAGAGAGGGAGGCCATGCATCAGCTAATGGAAGTGTTTTTTCCAGGGCTCTTTGTCTTGAATTTCCACGCTAAGTCTCTGTCATACGCATGCAGAAGCTTCCTTGCTGTTTGTTCTCAGTGCTTTTGTTTCACTGACGGCATCTGTCTGACTCAGAGAATAAGTGTGAACAATGGGCGCCCAAAGAGCTTTGTATTTATACTCAGGGCTAATTCTGTCTGGTTAAGGGTGCCAGAGCATCAGGCCAGCATGCTAAAAAGCAACCCCCAAACACGCTGAGGTGCTTTGGATTCCAGCATAATGTTCTGGACTACTCCAGCATAAAATCCCACCTGCTTGCAGCACGGGGTGGGGTAAACAATTTCAGAGAGGCCAGAGGAGTAGGGAAGCCGTCCCCGCTCCCTCTGCGGGCACTGGAGCATCAAAGGGAACCACATCCAGCATCAAAGCGGTCAGAAAGGGGGAAATGGCAGGGAGGCTGGCAGGGAGCACAGAGGGCTCCTTTGTGCATCGATCACAACGCTGCTCTGTGCCCGCGCTGTCGGGGCAGATGGCTGGGCAGCACCTTCTCATCAGGCAGGAAGCTGATAAGAAATATGACTTGTCTCTAAGCCAGCATGGCTTTTCCTCCTCTTTCTTCTTCCAGCCAGTTGAATGCGTCCAGAGCATTATCTCTGCTTGGTACTGACTTTAAGCAGCACTGGCTTAATGTAATTACTGAATAGCAGCCAAATACGCTTGTGCCGCATAACCCTGGAAGGGGCTGAACTTGTCAGGAGCCTCTGCGGCGAGCCACAGCCTCAGCCGTGCCGCCGGAGGACGGGCATCCTTGCAGGTGGGGTGGCCCAGGGCAGCGTGCACCTACGGGTGGGCCCGGTGACAGCTCTGCCGCTCCCTCGTCCCCCGGCCTCCCTCTGACTGGTGACGTGCCACAGCTTTTGATCATCGTTCGTCTCCCAGCCGTCCGGGACACAGAGTGCCCTCCCGAGAGGAAAATGCCGTGCCCTGGAGGGTTTGCCACCAAAGGGTGCTCTCCACTCTGTGGTGTGGGCAGGAGCGCTGGGACGTGAAGCAGCGTGTGCCTCCGAGCTGGCTGCGAGGGAGCGGAGGGGAAGCTGTGGCCGGTGCTGAGCCAGCGGAGAGAGGCTCTCTTCTGCTCTTGAAGAGTCAGCCCAAGGGCTCTGTGTTTGCTCGGCTTTTGGTTGCCAGCTCTGGTTTGCTTCTCATCAGTCAGGATTCAACTTGGCATGTTTGGGAGCCCATCTTGGAGAAAGAGCAGGAAGGTTTGGCTTGCTAGGTTATCTGTAACGCATAAAACCAAATGCAAATGTGAAGAGGCCAGAGCATAACTCATTTATAAACAGAATTAACGGTGCTGGCACAGCAGTGTGCGGAGCCAAGACCCATTCTCATGCGTTGCAGGCTCTTTCTCTCAATTATTTACTCCCCTTATCTTTCTCTCTCCCCTCCTCTGACATGCTACACCATTTCTCACTGCTAATTTCCTCTCCGTTGCATACGGTTGACATGCTGCTTTTCATTGCTCTCGTTTCCTAACATTTTCTCTCTCGCTTTCCCTCCCCGTTTTCTTTCTTCTCCAATTCAAAGCCACTCCCTGAATAACTGCTGTCATATTTGCTCTTCTCCCATCCCTCTCCTCGCCCACCTTGCCTGTGTACTTTACTCAAGAGCTCTTTTGATCTTTGGCTTTCTTCTGTGCCGGTTTCAGCGGACTGAATCGAGGCATGAGCTGCTGCCTCAGAGCATCCTCTACTCCCCGGAGAGGTTAAAACCTTCAAGTTGTTCGTTTTGGGGGTTTTGTTGGTTTTCAAATCGTGAGTGAGGGAAGGAGCTCTCACAACAGACTCCAGTTAAAAAAAAAACAACGAATCATCATCTTCAAAACAAGCTTTACAGCACAATTTATATTCTGCAGTTGAGGTGTCTCGGTAACGCTGGGGCTGGCCTGGGGGACTCGGGTGCTGATGAGGTTACGGTGACGGTTGGTTTGACCACGACTGATGCAGGATGCAAACTTCCCCTGTCTATGCATTCCCTCTTGAGCAGAAATCAACGTCCAATTCCAGTATTAAAACAGCCTCGGAGTTTTTACAGAGGCTGAGCAATAAAAGGACCCACTGGTCGCTGAAATTGGGTTGCTGCATAAATTTCTTTGTAGGCAAAGGTGGGCCTGCAGGAAAGTCTGGCAGGTCCTGTTTATAGGCACAGTTAAAAGAACAGGATCTGAAAGGACACAAAAGCTGCTGCTGCAAATCCCGAACCAGCCCTGGCGGACCCGCAGCGGTCGGCTTTCTGTCGCTGGCTTTGCAGAAGGGCAGCAAGTGGTGGGTATTGTCCCACTGGGGAGAAGAGGCAAGCTGTAGCTGCCCAGGTCCTGCTTTGGTGAACGCATACCTGTAGGACAGAAAGTGATGTAGCTTCCTCATTCTTTTGGGTACCTAAAATATCCGACTTAGGGCCAATTTTGGTGAAGGTAGACGGTTGAGATGAAAATAACACTGAAGTCACTGTTGACTAGAAGAGGGTTCGGGCTGGAGCGCGGTGCCTGAGCCCGACATGCCCTGCACGCCTTGCGGTGTTTGTTCTCTCCCACCCCGTCGGTTCGCTCTGCTCGCTGGAGCCGGGAAGGTCAGTTTGCCTCGCTGATAACTCGGTTTTAGGTTCTATTTCTATCTACATATGCTATCGTCTCCCTGTCTTTCGGGGAGGAGAAATGTTGAAATTCTAAAAGCGAATTTTTTGTGTGCACAGTTCTGAGCGTTCGTCAGGTTCCCTTTTAAACGGCAGAAGAAATCCTTGAAAACCAGAATGCGTCAGTTTGACTTTGGACTGAATGTTGTACTTGAACTACTTTGCGTTGTTTCTCTAAATTTTCTTTGTGAGCTACTCGGAGCCCTTTTCTAATCTCTGAGAGCAGCTGCCCCTCGTGATTTGTGCCTGGTTGGCCCCAGCGACCAGAGGTGATGCTGCCTGATGCTCTCAAACATTCCTAACTCTTGGTGCTACAATTAGAGTATCAGTTAATTAATTGCATTCGCAAAGCATACCATTCCCTAGGTTCCCACTGAAGACTTGTTCAGGTGAGAGCGCGAAGAACTGGGGGGTTTTTGTCATCGTCAGATTTACCGAATTTTTGACATCACCTGAATTACCGACATAGGTGTCAAGAATAGTTTTGGTAGCTAATCAAAGTATCTGAGCTTTTGGCAATGCCTTCTGCATGTGATGGTAGCCACCTGTCAGTAGACTGTGCTTCTGCAACCACGGCATCCACTGCTCACAGGCAGTATTGTAGGAAATTCAAGCCACAGTCGTTCCCTTTTAATTATTAATTGCTTTTAAAACTCAGCGCTGCTTAGCCTGGGAGGGAAGAGACGCTGTGCTTTCTGAAGCAAGGCGTTCTCGGGGAGTTGCTGAGTGGAATCTGGCTGGGGGTTTTGTACTGATGGGCACCTGCTCTCTCCCAGGTGGACAATGCCAAGGACTTCCTCTCCATGGGTGGACTCCAGCTTGTGATCGACGGGCTGAACAGCACCGAGGCCGTGCTGAAGGAGCACGCTGCCTTCGTCCTGGGAGCTGCGCTGTCCAGGTGAGCTCTCTCTCACCAGCCTGGGAGGGTGAAAACCTCAGGAGGGCAGACGGGCTCTGTGCTTCTCTTCATCTCTCTTGATTTATTGCTAACAGCAGGAGCCGAAAGCTTCTCTCATCCTGCAACACACCAAGTTGTCTTCTGCCCTGCCTAGCCCTTTCCTTGCAGTACCACTTAACCCTGGTCTTCTCCTCGGTGCATCCTCGTCCTGCTCGTTAGACTTAGCCAGAAGTAATTCAGTGTGGAAGCTATGATTGTTTCTTGATTTCCTTGGGCTCCTTGTTTTTACGAAGTCCTAGGAGAATAGTTCTGCCTCCCCTCTCCTCTTGGCAGCCCTCTCGGGGGGAGATCTTGAGGATGGTGCGGTTATGAGCGCTCCAGAGAGCACCTTTCTCCCTCCTGCTCCTTGCTCCCAGGCTGCTTTAGGATAGCAAGAAGCTGGTTTGGAAATATAGCAACTGTCACAGTGTTTGGAGGGAGTTTTTAGCCCCATGGATGTGTGCCTCTGACCCACAGGTGTAACCAAAGCGGTGTTGGTTAGACATGGCGTTAGGAATGGGGTCAGCAGGCCGAATCAAGAAGAGACTGGTCTGAAGGATGTTTGTAGTTCATTGGAAGATGCCCGTTGCCCAAAGGGGCCCAGTTGGCCTCGTGCTAGGGCGTAATGCGTAGCGGTACAGGTCTTACAGTGTGGGCTCAATGGGTTTTGTTGGTGCCCTTTTTGTTTTACGGGTTTTGGGGCTTTAGGGTGTGTGTTGCACGTTCACAGGTGTAGAGGCTTTAGAAATGCGTTGGATGGGCCCAGTCTTCAAGGTCAAGTGGAGAGTGAAGACTGGAAGTCGGGACCATTAGATCTATATTCCATGCCTTCTCCACCATTATACATTATTTATCACTTAGTCTAATACATAGTCTACAAATCTGCATTTCTTTTGCAATCTTGTGTGCGATGCAGTTGGTCCTCAGCATGCACAAAGTAATATGGCCTCATGGACGGCAGCAGGTGCCCGGCTTTACACCAGGAAAGAGTCCAGCTTGTATTTTGAAACAGTTTGACTTATTTATCACAAGAAGATGTGCTCTTTCACATCAGAAACACAGACTTGCTCTTCATATTCTGGTGTATCTTAATGTTTGAAGTAACATTGTAGTTGTTTCCTTAAGTTTTTTAGTAGCACGTAGACTCTTAATGATATGTTTCAAAACGAGAAAATCATGTAGAGGCTCTGGCAACATTTGCAGGTAACTTCCAAAATGACAAGGGCTATTAAACCGCTTTCCTGATTTAGCTGATGTGACGTGATCAAAACTCAAGAAATTCATTATCTTGTCATATGAGCGTGTAGCAATGGCCACGAATCTCATGGTTTTATTTAGTATTCCTCGATTAATTGCAAATGCCTTTCTTTGGGCAGAAACAATCTCTTTTCTAATATGACAATATTAAAATACTGCTTTGGAAACTTTTAGGTTTTTTTTTTTTTCTTGAAAGGACATTCTAGCAGATGGTAATTTTGAGTGGTTTGGATGACGTATTGTCTGAGAGCTCAGTTCCAAAATATGAGGAATATTGTTCCTGGGTTTTGGGTTTGCTTTTTTTCCCCTTGCTGTGCTTAAGCTTTCTCAACAGACACCTACATGCCAACTCTTCTGCTTTGCGATATCTGCTTAATTTGTTTGTTCATACATTTTCTCAGCTTGCTCTGTGCTCCATTTAAACTGCAGCGGGCATTTCAAGTACTTCACGCTAAGCATTTCCTGATGTCTTGCGTTTTTCTGAGGGGTTGTCGTTTGTTTCCTTCACTCGTGGTTGTTCCTAGGGGCCTCAGTTAGGTGGTGCGACTTCCCAGTGAATGCCCAGAGGTGCCACAGCTCAGTGGGCTGTAAGGGCATGATCTGATCCGTATTTGTGTGCCTGGGGCTGGTATTGGATCCTACGCTGGATGCTGAGCCATGCCTGGGCAAGAGGCAGTGGTTTGCTGCTCACCCAGTGGGTCTGTGGCCACCTCCCAGGTCGCTTCAGCCAGGTTGGCTCAGGCCAGCAGTTTCAAGCCAGGCAAACCTTCCCAGAGGAAAATCAGAGCGTGATCATAGCAGCTCCTCAGCCCAGCCCAGGAGGTCGTTAACTCCTGGCATAGCTGAATCTGGAAGAGGGAGTTTGCTGTTGTCTGTAGGCAAGTTGTTTTACGCAGGAGAAAACCACTGGACGCTGAGCAATCTCAGATGTGCTCGGGTCACATCTGGAACTTTTCAACTCTTAAAAATATCCAGGTCTTCTCCAGTTTTGCCTTGTTCTTAACTCTGATCAGGTAGTGAAGCAGGCAAGGGGTGGAGCAAGCAGCTGCATCACCCAGGTCTTGCCTGCACGCAGTCCAGCTGGAACCTGGCTCAGAGCTCTGGCTGTGCTGGAGACCGCTTTGGGATAAAAGGGTTTTCGAGCGGATCAGCATCTTGAGCCTACTGGCCAGGTGGTCGGCCAAGACGCTGGATCAGCAAAGGCAGTAGGAGGAGAAAGAGGAGGAGGGGAAGGTGCAGCCGGGGCAGCTTAGGATTTCTCCCTTCTGATATCACTCCTATTTACTTGGATTAAACTGGTCCTGAAAAGCAGCCTTAGCACAGCAGAGTTTGGTCCTCATGGCAAAGGGTCCCAGGGTCTAGCTGCCAGGATGCTGCCTGCACGGACACTGTCCTCCTGGCATCCACCTGCCTCTATCTGTGAGCCTCTGCCCTGGGAGAGGGTGACCTGATAGAGGAGAAATCAAGATTTCATCTCTTGTTTCTCTGACGTGTCCTTCATTTTAGGCATTTGGATTTTAATCGCTGAGTCTCTGACCAAATCAAACATCATTCCATCTGGTGGAGTTTTCAGAGCGGTGCCCTTACTGCAACTCTAAAACCTTATCACAGTCTTACTGTTTTTAAACCTTTAACAAAATGTTTTCCATTCAGCAGTTTGCAAAAGTAAACTTAATTTGAACAATCCTCAAGTGCTCTGATTGCAAATAAAAGTTAAATGCACTAACAAAAATAATTGCTAGGCATGTGGGATTGTACATTTAGGTATCCATAATTCACTAACAGTATATGCCAATACTCAACATTATCTGGATTTTCAGTGATTGCATTAGCATAAAAGCATGTTAGCATTTATCCAGTGGTACTAACATTTAAATATATATAAGTATGAAATATTAAGATACAGCATTTTGGAGGCAAGTAAAACTACTGTCTGTAAAATGTTCTTGCGTATCGTTGAAGGCACACTCTAGTGTCTTCGGATGACAATCAGCATTCGCACCATTGGGTCCAAACATTGCAAAAATGTCAATGTTTTATGCAAAGAGGAGCTATATTAAGCTAAAAAAGATTGCTGATGAGAGAAGTGTCTTCTGATGTCCTCTAAGCTATTTACAGGCAGCATCTTCCTTTGTTCGTAGCACAACCAGGCCTCTGCACAATTTGTGTCTAGATGTTTCACAGGACTGGAAATGTTAGCCAGAAAGGATTATGCTTGTGATTAAAACCTCAATTTTTAAAAACTTTACCTCCAGGAAACGTTTTTCCACACCAATAATTTAAACATTTTAATATTTTGTAATAAAAGGATTTTTGTAATCGGTTTAGAAGGGGAATAATAATTTATGTTGAATGCATTCTTGAAGCTTTATCCCAAACGCTCCCTGGACGCTTAGGGGTGAATTAGAGGTGAGGACGGAGAGAAGCTAAGCCATGGGACCTTCAAGGCAAAGAAAAGCAGTTTGTAGTTCTTGGGGAGAGGGCAGAAAGCACAAAAGGTGAGATTTTGGTATGGCCAAAGCGGGGAACCAGGAGGAAAGTCGCTTGTGCAAGTGCATTGAGAGATTTGTGGCATTTTGGCCAGCCCACATGCTGGGTAGCGGGAGGCAGGATTTCACACTGAAGGTCTGAGCTTGCGTTTGCTGTGTGTCCTAGCAGGACGCAGGGGAGTCCCCAGCACAGCCTCTTCCAACAGCTACTGGGATCCTGCTGTTCCCTCCATTGGCCTTGAGGGATGAAGCAAATGTTACAGGCCTTGGTAAAGACTTGGGAGTAACCTCATCACAGGTAATGACTCAAGCATCACGTTGTGGCAGCACTCAAGAGCTTCCTAGAGATGGCTCGCGGCAGGGTATTGCTTGTCTTAACCATTTCCCATGAGATTAAACCCATTAAACTGTGACAACGTGCGTCATGAACGTCCCAGTCACCATAATTCATGTTACCCAGCTTTAGAGCTTACACCATTTTGGCAAAGAGAGGCCTAAAACATGTATCTGCCTAAAAGAAGAGCCCCGAGGGATGGGCTCCGTTGCCTCCCCGCGCAGGGCTGTGCTGGGGTGTACGGGTAGTGCTCAGCATCATGATGTCCGGGTGTTTTGGGTTCTGCTTTCTCATCTTCTTTCTTGGGGAGGAGGAATGGGGGAGTGCTGTCTTCCCGTCCCTGCTCTATCTGTCGGTGTTTTGGTGGTGTCCGTTCTCCTAGGGTGTGTGACTTCCATGTTTTGTCAGAGAAGCAGCAGCTTCCTCAGGATGTCTTTGTCAGGAGGAAAAAGCTTCCACCAGATTTAACAGTTTTGAATTAAGTCCGGCTTTGCAATGAAACTGGTTGATGCTCACTGCTGTTAAATAACATTAAGGCCCAAGCAATAAACCCAGGGAAAGTAAAATTAAAGACCTTGCTTTGATGCTGTCTTGTAAGGACATAAGAATTTCTGAGCAGAGGAATAAATCTAGTTAGCTTAACAAGCACTATCCTTACCCATTTATTTCAAATCCATCTTTATGTTCGTCCCTTCCTCCTCCAGCTTCTCCTTTTACATCCTACAATCTTTTCCCATCTCTTTATCCATTCTCACTGTTCTTCTCAGTGTTCCTGTTTGCCACCCCTCAGTTGCAGTAATTCTAGCTCGACTCCCTGCCCGCTTGTAATTTCTTGCTTTGTACATTGTCTCTTCTATTTTTATTTGAACTCCTGACTTGTGTGGAGTTATCAGCCTCACTGCACTTAATTTCAAATTAATTTGATTGGGTCATCTCATTGTTTTTTCTGTAAGAATAATGAAGTCAACCTGTTTAGCCTTTCCCCATTATGAATAACCTTAACAAAAACTGCAGTGCGGTATAAAACTGTGCTTCATCATTATGGTTAATTACACAGAAGAATAAATCCCTAAACATTTTTCGGCGTCTGAAATCTAACAAGAAAGTGTAATTAACAATTAAAACAGTAAACTGCCATCCTTGCGTGCTCAGGAAGACAGGGAGAGCGCAGCCCGTGAGAAAAATCTAGAATCCAAGGTTTGCTCCTGGTTTTGTTTTCATAAATGCTTCGCTTTGGTGGT